TGAAAAACGCAGAACCCACAGCTCTCATACTTCCTGTGTCTGAGGACGGGGACGTCCGCATCAGGTTTAAATTACAGGCTCAAGTTGTGACGCTCTTTATTCAGGTCAGTGATGTAATTCTCCAACACGCAAAGCTGGACTTTTTCAGAGTTTCAGTAGCGTAAAGATGACATTAAATTTAAGAGAAACGACTTAAATTAAAAACACGACCTCTGATGTTTTCAGGAGAACAAAGAAAGATGGAGAACATCAGTCCATAAGTGCACATTTTCTTTATCTTACTGCTGTAAATACTGATTTTTAGGCCAGATTTCAGTCCAGTGAGGAGACTCTGAAGGTTTCCAACAACTTCTCCTCTCCGAGCGACTCGTATGTTCAGATCGCCCCCGGCAACACATCTGCACAGGTATTATATACAAAGTTAATATTTTTAATATATCACAGCTGCATGTATCCAAAATGTAACTGTATTTATTTAACTTTCAGATCCTTAACCCAGAATTCCCTCTTAAACCTGACGGTGCGGGGCTACAAAGGAAACAGTGTCATTTTCACCAACACCACCACCCTAACCTTCAGTCCCAGGAATGTGTCCACCTTCATCCAAACTGACAGATCCCGCTACCATCCAGGGGACACAGTCAAAGCCAGAGCCATGTGTGTTCAGCTGGATAACCATCCATACAAGGACAGCGTGGATCTCTCTGTGCGGGTGCGTCTCTATTGTCTGTGTGAAAGAACAACGCCAGAGGAACTCTGGGACCTTGACTGATATTCCTTTCTTACATGCAGGATCCCAGTGGGAATATCGTAGACAGGTGGGAGTCCACGGCCAATCTGGGAATCGTGTTACGAGTATTCCCTTTGTCCCAGACGGCTGCTCTTGGACGCTGGGTGATCGCAGCTACTGTGAATGTAGGGTTGTTGTTGTTTTCCCCTCTGCACGCTGTGATGGAATAAGAAGGAATATCTTCTCATCCGAGCTTCCCTCTTCTTACATGCAGGGTGTGACTGACGAGAAGCAGTTTGTTGTGGAGCTTCATGGTAACGTGCATATCGATTTATTCCAGTTTACTCGTGATGGTTTATGTTCGATCGGTCAGTTTGAGGATAGACGGCACTGGTTGACCTGAACAACATCAGAGGAGAACAAGGTAGTGCCAGTTTCCGTGTGACTGATGGGACGAAGCGACTCGTTTGCGTTAAACTTATCGATTTTACTTCCTTCGTTGTAGAAAGAGAATCTCAGTCTAGCGTTCAAAACAGGAGAGAGCGTTGGGATTGCGCAGTCTCTGGTAAGACTTTGTTTTAACCAGCTTCCCATTTTACACACACACGAAACAGATTTTTGTTTGTCGTGCTCATAAATGTCTCTTTAACAGACAGTGGAGGAGATGCTGAGAGCGGGCGGTCCTGACTGGCAGCGGGTTCTGAGCTACG